TCGGAAGCCTGGTGCTACGCACGCTGCTTTGGAGCTCTGCGAACTGTTTGCAGTTGATTTGTCGACATGATAATAGCTCTGATGAAAGCGACTGGCGTTCATCCGTCATTGGCTTCGGTGGAACAGTCTATCCCAGTTTCGAACCCGTTCCGCACGTCAAGACGGATTATAATCAACACTCTTGAACTTCGGTCACGGAGCTGGCTCATTTCGTGTCGTCTCGTCCTTCTAATTCTCATATCTTTGATGCTGCAATACGGGCGCGTTAGCTTGTCTCTATATCCTTGATGAGCATTCGCTCCAAGCTTCCAGTCGACTGCAACATGAGTGATCCATCCGCTGATGGGTTTGGTATACGTACTTCACGTGTGCTTGAAATGGGGGTTTGATGCATCTGCTAAAGATTTGGTGATAACCTACAGCAGTGAAAGATTGAAACCGCGCTTGGCGCGAAGGGGCTCGGCAGATATCCGACAACCGCTTTCTTTATTACTTTGTCAACACCAAAGATACTGCTCGAGCGGTCTTTTCCCAGCACGCGCTTATCATACAAGCTACACCGACGTCACTCTGCACATACGCACTGCAGTACGCCGACTACTCTGAGCAATGCCTGTCGTATCGGGAAGTGAAAGATTACTACTGCTGGAGATGCATGAGGTCAGGCGCGGAAGCGTACATAGCAATGAGGCCTTCTACCTAGATCTTGGAAGCCCTAATCATTCGATCTCCGGCAGTCAAATCAGCAGTCCCGGCCGACGCTACTCATTTGATTGGTCGCAAAGCGTGAGCATCGGTATGCTCTTTCCAATGCCATCTTCACACCAGACTAACGTGACAAAAGGGCGACTCATGGATACGGCCTTTCGCGACAAGGAAATCGATCTCGAGAGCTTCAGCCGCCTGGTCGTGGAAGTCAAGCAATCCTCGAAAGTCATGTCATCGAGAGACGACATCAGTCGTGACGGGCCAGAAGTGCAAGTCCCCTGCACCCCATCATCCTTCGTTCAAGTTCTCTGCACCCCAGACCTGGCAACCACCTGCTCTTTCAAATCTCTGGGCGGAAAGGTGCAAGTACGCTGTACACCGTTATTCGTGGACTATTGTTTGAGTAAAGGTACACAAGGTATGGCGAATTCCGCGACATTGGAACAGTATGTATCAACATGTTTTGGTGGAATCATCACATCTGACAACGTCAGTAGACCCACTAGCTACTATCAGTGGAATTACGTTGGCAACGATGAGAAGCAATACGCAACGTTCTCATTTGTCGAAGATCCAAGGGGTGAGTCTTTCATCGACACTACTACGACTGTTCCGTTCCTGACAGTCTACTAGTATCCGGCGCCCCGTCCGAAAACTCGGCGATAGGTGAGCAGCGATGCTCGCTCGATGCAGTCCACTGCGATGGGATACCAACATCCACCGGTTTCGTATCACCTCTCCCAAGGGAAAACCACGAGGAAGTCGATGAATTCCACGACAATACGCTTTCGGACGAAGACTTTCTGGGTCTTTAATACTTCACTGTATGTCTCATTCTACATAACACGTGCAGACAGCATCCCACTCAAACGCATACCAGGGCAGATCCTTGGACGGCCGACTCGTATCCTGATTCGCACTTTCGTCATTGCACAATGTAGACAGTACTTACTTTTGCCCACGAATGGGGCAGTTTGTCGATCGCAATGCTGCTGCTGGCGTCCTGGTGTTAGTTGGAAACGAGGCAACATCAATGTAGTGCTTCCACAAAAAGTTCAAGAAATCCGGATAGAATATGTTCCACGGGTATGCAGTCATCAATATTAGTGGTTGTGAAGTACGGGAAGCCAACAGCATATGGGCCACATAACTTCGCTAACCCCACAGCGTTGAACGTAAGATAGTCTGTAGAGGTGGTGGCACACGCTTTACATGCGCATCCCCATATCAGTTATTACCTGGTGTTCGATTAACTACATAATACATATCATAAAGAGCAATCACCAAGTTAGCATGTATACACGAACAAAGGGCACATTTCATCGTTCATTGATGGCGCAACGGCATTTTTATAGATTCCTTACGTCGGAAGAAGAGCGATCGCTGGCAAACTCTTCTCGAGTAGCATCAATATCAACACCACGCAACATGGTCAATGCAATACTTATGGCGAAGATCAAGAAAGAAACATCGGGTAGGAAATTTATATAGTCCCTTCGGGCCTGCTACCTAAGTGATGCGTGGGTGGATACAATTTAGTGTGTGCTAGAGCTCAGAACAGCCATTTCCAAGGGTAACACCGGTGTGATGCCCTGAGTTGCGCGTCATGTCTCCTCCGTTGGTGGGATGTCTGCCGTGGTGGTGCTGCTGGACAGCACGACGTGTGTAGAGAGGGTTTTGTTCGATTCGAGTTTGCATGCGGCGCATTTGCATGAAAATCGTGGCATGGGAATTCTTAGCGGGTGACGTTCTGCGGCTGTAGGCTCGCTGAGACGCGATTTGGACAGACTATCATCTCCATTCTCTAAGGCCGCCAGGTCCCGGTATCAATCAGACCTGGGCGCGACAAATTGGTCGATATTACATACGTCGCATGGGCATTCAAACTCTGGCATGGGGTAGTCTTCCGGGGGACTTTCCGGTAGACCATCGTCGTCATCCTGTATGGATGGTCCGCGGTATTTGGGCATGTTGGCAACTACGCCTTGGATTGAATCGTCCATCCCCTGGAAATCCCAAACCTTTTGAATCCAAGTATGGCGACGTCCTTCGGAAACGTTCATCCTTTTGATAGTATCTTCGTAAGATTTGACGCTTTTCTTTATGCCTTCAACGCTTCTCAAGGAGGTACTGTCATCCCAAGGTGCATCTAGAGCATTCACTCCAGACCCCAAGTCCTGTTTGAGTTTCGATAACAAAGCCTTCTCTGCTGCAATCTCTTCGTCACATTTCCGGATCTTCGAAGCCAAAAAATGGTACTGGTGGTTGCGTCTATCGCGGGCGGCGTAGAGGGAATTAATAAAATCATCTTCGACTGTAAGATAATCTCTCAATTCATTGTCGTGAGCAGTCTCGAGCCCTTTATATAGTTGTTTAGACATGGTGTCAGATTTGCTGGGTAGAGATTTGGAATGTTTTTTTGGATCCATCAAGTTGTTATTGTTGTTGTATGCGTTGATAGGGAATGTTGACTTGCTAATTAAAGGCAACGAAAAAGTACTGCTACGCTTTATACCCTTTCTAATACGGGAAGTGCGTTGTGAAGTGGTCGGACAGAATTACACATTGGACGAGATTGTATAATCACATTTGCGATGTACATTAACACTACGTTGTTTCTCAATTGACACTCAGTTCCGGCCTCGGGGCAAGACGTTACATTGTTGCTGTATGTCGGATCCAGTGACTCATCCAGATACCACGTTCCAGATCTCGAGGGTAAGGCGTTGTGGGCGGAGAAGTATGGCATAGACTGCCCTCGACTTAAGCGCTCGCAATATCTGCAGTTCTCTTAGAGCCCTTCGGGGCTAGTCGCTTAAGTGTTTTGGAGTCGCGCCGCTGACCCTTGCGCTCGTTGTCGGCTCCTACATATCTTCTCTAGCAAAGGTGGAAAAATAGTTGTCATCCTTCACGTTGACATTGATGTTGTCTTGGTCTGAGTTCATGCAAGCCAAGGAGGATCTAGCAACAGGGTTAAAGGCATAGAAAAGTAAGCATTGATTGTTGTGGGCTATCTAGAGAGTGATGTAGCCGACTTCGAGAGCTGTACAATTTCTTGCGTGTTACTAGCTTGACCGCAATCAAAGGAGAGAGGCGGGTAAAACATAGCGCAAAGCCATCTATGTGCATTTGGCCACCTCCTTAGCGTCATCGTAAGTACAAGAGTTGTTGTCCTTCGTGCACTGTCCACGAAGAGAGCGATGTTAGTCCATATGTAACTTCAAGTGATACTGTGGGTATGGAATACTACCTACCCTGTAATTCGCGGCTACATTGGTCGAGCATTTGACCAACCGAGTCTTCCCGCTGACTGTGTATTTGCATTCGTTTGCAGCTTTGGTGCATTTCTAGGAAGAAGCAGAGCAGTTAGTAGTGATGCAGGTGTGAGGTTACTTTGATGCATGAACGTCTACTTACCCCGGGGTGCTCGAAACGAGCCACGAGGTTGTCTCTAGCCTCAATGCTGGCTAGCTGAGACTCAACCGGAGTGGCTACAACGCCCATTGCGACAAAGAGGAAAGCGGCAGCTGCAGTAATCTTCATAGTAAAGGTCTTTCGCGGATCAGATTGCAAGAGAGAGCGGGATGTGGTGAAAGAGATGGTCAAGCGTATTTGGAAGAAGGTGCCGTGGATGCAATGGCCTCAGGTCTGTAGGGTCGAAGAGCTACCTTTTATAGGGAACGGTATGCTCATCAGTGCATAGGGTGTACGCCTTAGAAAGCTTTAGTGATCCTGTCCTTCCAGACGCTCGTATCCCCTATTGGAAGAAGAAACTTTGTCTGGGGACGTTGCAGCGCATCTTGACCCGTCAGAGTGGTGGCAGGTGAGCCTGTGCCGCATGCATGCAGAGAATGGGGAGAAAACTCTGTCTCTGAGTTTGCATTATCAACTACCTGCCTAGGTAGATACCAATCATCAAGCGCCGCGTGACATCTTCGGCTACTTGGCGGGTCCAGAGGTCGTTCTGGTATGTGGCGTAGCTACTGTCCCCTGGACCTGGCGTTAGCTGTGCCCCATGCGCATGGAAGAGAGACTCGGTGCAGGATCCGATTGAGATCAAGCTTGCAGTATCGTTTTACTTCCAGCTTTTCAATTCCAACTTAGGGATGGCCCCTTACTGCATTAACCATCAAGACCCCTAACCACACTAGTGGGGTACATTCATAGCCTTTGACGAAGTTAGTCGAGGCGAGATGGGCATAGAGACAAAACACACTTTGGGAACATCATGCATTGCATTACGACACAGGCTGGAGAACCAACCCAGCCTGGCGCTATTGTATACTATGGGGTTACGTAACTAAGCACAGTAGATGTGGATCCTGATGTAGATCAGGCCCACCGCTCTGATATGCTCGCAGGATACCGGCGTTGCGTTCTTTGACGTTATTGATCATGCGCTCGATGGCATCAGTAGCGTGCTCTTCCAGGCGCTCCTCATGGGCGGCGTGTGCCTCATCCCGAATCTCATGCAGACGCTTCAGCCAGTACATCCATCGCCACGGCGTAAACCCAATTGGCGAACGCATTCCTAGCTCAGATTCAACAAAGTTTTGACCACCCTGACTGAGCGTGCCTGGGCAGTCGTTCCAGAAAGCGTCGGATAACTGGATGAGGCAGTAGTTGGCCTCTTTGATCCATGCGCAAGCAGCTGGCAGCAAATCTGCAACTGTAAGGCTGCGGATGTCACGAGATAGATCTTCCTCGTCTCGCGTCTCCGGGCTGCAAAGGGCTCGTGTTTCCTCAAATGTGGAGCGAAACAAGACGAGAGCGATCTGACAGATCTTGTGGTTGGCCACGCGGGTTGACGCCAGCTTGGCTAAGAAGGAGGCCAAGTTGAGGCGATGAACACCGGACATGGGCGCGCAATTGGTGATCCAGAAATCCGTCATGTCCGTGGCCAGGAAGGGCAGGTCATTCCACAGCGTGCCTTGCACTGTTCGTGCGATATCGATGCCGTAGTTTCCTGACACAGGCCTAGTTAGGGGGCCAAGTCCCTGGATGCGGACGATATCCAGGACCAGGCGGTCTTGGTCAGCGCTTTCATGAGACGCCAGCCGACCAAGCTGATAGTAGATGTGCCAAATAGAATGCAGGTAGCCTTCAAGAGAATCGACTCCGTCGCCAACAGCACAATACCGGTCACTGATGATCCAGGTTCGGTTGGTAAAGGCTCCGAGGCGAAGCTGCTCGATCTCCCCGCGGGCGATGCATTCACGGACGTTCTGCCGGTCGTGAGTGCTGTCGTCTAACTTTGTGATGTCCGATGGGCCCTTGGGAAACGGGCTTAGCAGTGCATCGCGGAAGGATTCCATTCTCAGAGGGCTGTAGCGTGACTGGATACGCCGAATAGATGCAGTAGAGAGTATGAAAGGATAAGCGAAGAAGAAGGCAGGCAGACATGTAGTCCACGTCGATTTTTGTACTGTCGTCCACTCATGTAGAGCTAGGTCTAGCAGGGTTATAGCCAATCAAAGGGTTGTGATGAAGAAGTGGGTTGTGGCAAAGAAGGCTCCACACGTCTATCGACACAGCCAGCGGCCTCTCACAAACCTTGAAAGAGGCGTGTTAGTGGGTCGTTTCCATGCTCTTGGTAGGCTATACCAGAACAATGAACATCAAGTAGATGTGAGGAAAGTATGCAGAGTACGTGGGCATCTGGTAGCCAGCGGCCTGCATTGAGCACAGGTAGAACAGCTAGCACGAATGTCTACTTGGTAGTGCTGACGTGTTAAGTCGCAAGAGTCATTTGTGAACCCTCTCATGAAGGTAAGGCTACGGCACAGTTGTAGATGCGCAGGGTTCGTGGAGTGAGCTACCCAATGTGACCTTGGAAGTCGCGAGTTGGAGCCGGAATGGCGCCGAAGCTAGCTCAAGCTAGAATGTCCCCTCTTCGTGTGGCAGTGCGCAGCCTCTAAATCGACAATAATTAGTGGGGTAGCTGTAGGAGCGACGATTTTGTTGCTGGGGTTGTGGAATTAAGGTTTCTTGCACAATGAGGCTGGGGCGTGGGCCGCCAACCAAGCGGGGATCGTCCAGCGTGGCGCCTTCCGCAGACGCCGGCACGGCACGGCACGCCAGGGCACAGTCACGCGGCAGGCTCTGTCGCGGCAGCACTGGCACCCTCTCCAAAAGTGCAAGTAACTAGGCTTGTTGGTCCAGCGCCGCTGTTCTGCAGCTCGCTTGCGCGCGGACTACGAATCCTGCCTGGATGAGGATGCGCAGGTGGTGACGACGCACGCCCGCCAGCCGATTCAGGCGTTGTCCTCTAAGGAATTGAGTTTCGCCCGGGAGCCCAAACAAAGTAACCCCCATTTTGGTGTGGAGAAAGAGATTCTGCGGCACAACGCACCGCAGTGCCCACCGAGCTTCCCTGTTTGTGCCCTAACTCCACCCATATGCAGCTTGTATCCTCCGCGGCCTTCACGGTTGGCTGGTGTGGAGCGGGAGGCTTTTCGACGTCGCCTGCGGGCGGGGTTTTGCGGATGATAGATCGTTCGAGAGGTAGCTGTCGATGAGCGTGTGCACGGGGGACGATGTGCGACCTCGGAGGCGGTACGAGCGAGTGAGAATGGAGTGGTTGCTAAGACGATGTCAATGAAGAACGTGCCTAGAGCGAACGAGACGACGTACCGTGCTATGAGACCGACACAGCGGCATGCAGCGACCGTATGGTGCTTGGGCAAGCCTTCCAATCTAGAACGCTTTCCACGGCATGTAGAGGACACAGTCTCATCGCTCTCCACCTAGCAACCGGGGTCGTCAAGCTTAGCCTGTTCACGCAGTGATAAACTGGGTGTATGTCTTTGACCATGAACATGATCAGGCCGCGTTGTGAGACGCGATGCCGTCATTGGGCGCGTTGAACGTCTGCAGTTGCTTTTGGAGGGCTCCTTCAGACTGCGGCAGAGTCCTGCTTGCCGAGGCAGCTCGTCGTTGGTATCGTATCCGCGATACGACGTCGGTTGGCGTGGGATGACTGTCGGGTGCATGGGTAGTGCCATTATGGCGTCTCAGTCGGTGGACGGTTCGCAAGCCCGCTCGACGGCTCGGATATGTCGGCGTTGCTTTCTCCGATCTAGAATGGTCGAAGCTCTGGTTATTAGCAGATGGTGGGTGAGTTCGCACGTTAGTTGTCGTCACGTATCAGCGAGACGATGGGCCTCTTCGGAGACGTGCGGGCAAGAAACGATATCATCAGGTTTGGCACCAAGAATGGTCGCACGACAAAGAGCAGCATGCTTCAGATGCGACGACATTGCAAGTGCAAAAGGCTTATCTGAGGTATTACCGTATTCTACATGATAGTGCGCGGCTACCTTGCGGCGGCAGCGTCGGAGCTTCGGTGAGCCGATCCCGATCCAGTCTCCATGCGGACTAGCACACGGACTCGATCTCGTCAGTCTGTACGAACCAGCCGCGACCTCAGCCACCCCTCTACAACCGCATCCTTGTTTGACCCAGGTTCTCTTCTCGGCCGATGACATACCAGGGCTGAATGTCGGTTTGCACAACCCAGCCTTTGCCAAACTCGCCCAGGGCTTTGACCTTCTCGTCTGCCCAATATCTCGGTTTCGGGAACGTTCTCACCCACAATTTGATCAGCCAGTAATAATCAGGCAATATCCACGGAGGGTATCTGCAGCGGCGGCCCAGCGCGCGGAGAAATCGTAACGGAATCCCTGGTATAGTCTTGTCCATCCCTTTGATGTTCGAAATCTTGCCATAGTATCGGTCTACGCAGGCAGGCGGGATGCGCGACGGAGCATACGGCTGCAGGTACATCCGCAGGGTCCAGGGGCATGCCTCCTGCAGTGCTGCAAGAGTAGTGTCTTGTGACCCCGCTGTCTTACCCAAGATAGCGCTCCAGGCTCTGGAGGCGTCGTTGGTCAAGGCCTGCAGCAGAGTCCTCTTGCCGACACAGGTATCCACCAACAGCGCTCTTGCTTTATCATATTTCGGGTCTCGCGTAAGGATTGAGTGCAGCGTACCACCCGCCGGCCCATGGACACGTGTTCCGAGTCTGGGGTCCTCCCAATACGTCTCGAAGCGCTGGAAAGCCTCTCGCATGAGCTCCCATACCCGCTGGCCTGTCTCTGCGTCTGGCAGTCCTCGTGCCTGCCACATCCGCGTGTTCCACGAGCGGTTTGCTTCGCGCCAGTACTTGCGTACCTGGACCAGCGGAGGAACCCATCGGTCGTCAAGAGGCTCCGGCATGCTCAGCAGAGTGTAGGCGTTCTTTGCGATGGGTGCTATCGCGGGCTGTGCAGCAGTCAAGCAGGAGTAAAGACGCCAGCCGATGCAGCCGATGCAGCCGACGACGCCGACCACAGCTGCTGCTGCTGCCACCTTCCGCCCGTGGCGTTTGACCACATTTCTTATCCGCCTTCCCAGCTTATGTCTGCGCCGCTCGTCCGAAGGCCTCGCGCCCGATACACTGCGTGTGGCTTCGTGAATATCTCGAGAGGGTAAGGTTGGCTCGCTTCTCGTGCGGCGGCGGTATTTGGAGGATGGCCGAGCAGCTGGAGCATTTGCGCGGTGTACGATGCTGTCCAAGCAGAAGCGCTCCACTGGAATGGAGAAGTCAGTACTCGTTTGATCCGAGATTATACGGGGGTATGGAGCCAGACGCACCGTTGCTGAGCCTCATGAATCGTCGCGTCTCGCTCATCACCTTGCCAGCCTCATCTCGCGTGACAACTGTCACCCAGGCTCTACTCGACGTTTGATGCGCCATCTCAAAAGATTGCTCGATAGATGTCTTCCGACTCGACAAGTTCAGAAGCTCGCTCCTCACGCCAATGTAACAACGGTCGATGGTTGCCAAAGTTCGCGTGGGGTTGAGAGAGCAAACAAACCTCGGAACGTTACACAAAGAAAAGCTTTATGCCGACACCCCAAAAACCAAAGCTCTTTTATCTTCCTCCTTCCCTTTGTTCCATCACGTTTCGACCTTCCTCGATCTCGACTGCCCGAACAAGTGCAGCCGCTCCAATCAAGTACAGCCAACGCGTCGCACGAAACATCGATCATGGACACAGGTCTACGCCCACGCGAGAGTCACACGTAAATAGAGACGACTACGACTCGGGAATGGGGGCTAATAGATACACAGGGCGAGGGGCAAGACGCCAAACTTTTCGCGACGTCGCTCGACCGGATGGTGCGGCAGGGTCCTCGTCTTGCTCATCTGCCTCTTGGGCGTGGTCCTTGCGGTTCTTGCACAGCCCATCTGGTCAATAGGCAAGCCGTCTTGTACTTGCCCTCTCATCGCATGCCCCGACGTATCTCTCCCTAGCGATGAATGCACCGTTCCTGCGAGCTTCACAATGCTCAATATACGGAGCAGCCACATCCCGCCTCTGACAGTCCGACTGTCCATTGAGCTGCGCTCAGATGGTCCAGCCTTTGGTGCCAAAGCTATCGACAGGCGTCTTGGGCTTATCAACTCCCGCGCTTTGTCACTACACGACCTGACTCTCCACCACACCGCACAGTTTCATCGCCTCCAGACTACAACCGCTGCTGCTATGTCTGATACTTGCTCCAGGATTTGCCGCCCATACCGCTCATGGAAGATCTGGAAGAACCACAACATGTCCACATTCCTATCACCTGACGTGCATAACGCCCACCAAGACCAGGCCGTGTTGGATCATCTCCACAAGACCGTCCGCGACGCTGCACGGATCTACCACGACAATGTCGCCTCCAGTCTCGTTTCCGGTATTCACCCTATCAACGATTCACTCGGCAATGCAATCTTCGAAGCGTACGAAGCTTGGACAAAACCACTGCCGTCGGAAGTGTGCCACGAGATCTTTGCAGCATCCTGTGATGCTACCGACTACTACAAAGAGAAACCTCAGATAACATGGATGAATCAGTTCTTTGTAGCTCTGAAGGGAGAGCAAGACGCACTGAGCATGTCGAAGCACGATCTAGATCATTACTTGGCAGCGGTCGACCCCCAGGCATGGACCAACATACTTCCGGCGCACACGAAAGATATGGATGTAGAGGACAAAACGCAATGGGTATGGAAGGTCGGCAAGCAGGTTCGTCAAGGCGTCAGTATTGGGTCTGCCGACATGAAGCCCCATGTCGATAATGGCAACGACGCTCTGCCATGAGGCCCGATAAACGTTTCCATGCGACCGACTTGAGGCCCTTTCAACTCTTAGGCTAGTGTGTCCTCGGTTCTGTTTGTCGAATGTCGAAGAATGGATGTATGGCGGCCTGTCACTTGCCATGGGCAAGGCATTTCTCATGTCGTCGAGCATTACTGCACACATCTGAATGTTGACGTACAATGGAAATTGATATCCTATATATCCCATTATTGTTGGACACATTCCGCAGTTATCCAGCACCATGGTCTTCGACCCATCCCTGTTTTCAGCATGTGATAGGGTCCTCGACGTGACGTAAACAAAGGACAGCAAACCCGCTTGAGCAAGCGCAAGCTCGACATACAACAAGGCTAGATGCCTTCCCACTTACACTTCGACAATTCCCGACATTGAATGTTCGCCACGTCTCCGAACATGGAAGCGTACATGGCATGGACATCCGACAACTTACGACGAGAAATCAACAGGCGCAAGCTGAAGCCTACACCAATGCCCACCAAGAAGGTCGATCGAGCGATTCTTTTGGTGGCTCACGATGGGCGAAAGGCCCAGGTCGGGGCGAGTGGGTTGATTGGAGCGGAAGAGGAGGAGGGGGATGCGGACGATGATGACGATGAATTCGTCGATGCGAATGAAGATCCTGGAACGGATCATAACAGCGAGGATGAAGTGGAGGCGGCAACACACCCAGCTGAAGGCGGGAAAGCAAGCAATGACGACACGGAGCAAGACGCTGCTTCAACGCCATCCGCGCACCTAAGTCATGGCAAAAAGCGCAAGCAACCACAAACAGAATTGGAAGACCGCACCACCAAACGTCAGCACTACAACGACCCGTCTGCAAATGTACTACCCAACCTACCATCACCATTTCCACCAATATCATCACCGCCATCACCATCTCCACCTGAATCAACACCGCCATCACCGTCACGCCAGCAGCATGACACCGTCATCGCGCTAGAACAAGAGAACCTGAGCGCTCGCGCCAAACGCGCCCTGCGCCCTGTTGACCGCTCTCTCACCAACCTCAATGCCTGGATAAACGATGTCGTTGGCTTAGGCAACCTTGCACCCGGGGACCCGACCCCAGGTCAGATCGTTAGTGAGGTGGCTGAAGATGTTCGACGTTGGATGGAGCGGTGCAGTCGTGGAGTGGAAGAGAGAATAGGGCTGGTGGATAGGGAGGTCGAGGACATGGCGAATCACCAGGATGAGGAAGTTTAAGGAGATGGAGGGGCCGGCAATGGCACGGAGCTATGAGGCTGAGCGAAAGACGGATGGATCTTCTTTAAAATATGGTATGTATGAGTATGCTGCTGTGGTCCATCGGTAATGTCCCGCGAGGGTACGTTGGCATACACGATTGACGTCAAGTCCAGCTTTTGATCTTTCATACCATCTACTGCGCCTTTCAATACACATGCCCGAAGTCGCATCTATCCTTCCAGCAATACATGATTTCTCAATCTATCCCAGGCGCCCGTTTCCATTCCACACCGGCACGCATCTTCTCACTTTAGCTCTCCACACCCCCGTGTCTTCCACCACCATGACAACTTCAAGTGAAGATGAACTCATCTTCAATGTCCTTCTCTTTTCCTTTCTCCCTCTGTCTCTGCTCACGCTTCTGATGCTTCGGCTTATCCGCCCCAGCCACCATCTCCAGCGCCTTCTCCAATGCCTCAACTCGGAGCAGCAACTCACGGATGTCCTCAGCGTTCTGAAGACCCGACCGACGCACACTCTCCATTTGCGCGGCGAGGGTAGGGTCATTCGGAAGAAGAGGAACTGGTGCTCCGTCGAGGACCCGGAGTTCGGGCTGAATGTAGCGCGTACGGGGTGACTTTCGTGTGGGGGTGGCGGCGGTACGTGGACGGATTGGGGGTGTGATGCTGACTCTTTGGGTTGATGGGATCGGATGAGACGAAGATTCTCCCATCTCTGGATTCCGTACTCGACTGACAGTCTTGGTGGCTGGCTTCTTGGCGGCGGACTGCTTGCCGGGTCTCGTCGTCGGAGTTGGAGTTGGAGGTCGGGAGGATGAAGCAACTACTGGGATATCCTTTTTGCCATCATCGGAAGGCGGAGGAAAAGATTTCTGGAGTGCGTTGCTGATGGCTTGGTTTGTCGGCTTCTTACCTTTGGTCGAGGAAGATGCGACGGTAATGGGCTTCGCAACCTTGGAAGGCGTGGTGGCAAGGGCTTCTCGGATTGCGTTCGGTTTAGCGGCATGAGCAGTGTCATCGACAACAGCTTTGAGCCGGTCGGAGACGGTGCCATATCGGGACGGGGTCGGACTTGGGAACTGGACTCGTTTGCGCGATGAAGGCTGAGGTGTGGCCTCGTCTTCATCTCCAGAATCAAGTACAACGGGGCGCTTGGAGGCGAGGCGTCTAGTACTGACAACTTCGGTGGGTTTGACGGTATCCTTCTCTGGCTTTGGTGTAGATCGCTTCATGATTCCCTTGGGTTTTGGCGTATCCACGGCTTCGAAGGCTAGTTCGTCGTCGCTGCTGGTTTCGCTGATGACGGAGATACTTGTCGATGGTTTGCGTCTCTTCTGCTCGGTTGTCGACTTCTTCTTTTGGCCAGGAGAAGACGGCATGAAGCTGGATGAGGTTGATGCTGCGACGAGCTTCTTGTAACTTGATGATGTTGGCTCTTTGGTCGGGGTCTTGTAGTCGTTCTTTTGGTCGACATGCTTTGCGCAACGGTATGGGGTAGTGCCCATCGCCTTTGACGAGCCGATATCCTCCATGCCAAAAACCCGGGTCGCATGGTTCCCGCATGGTGTTCCGTTCTTGCAAGTTCCACGGCAATGATGAGTAGCCATGAGGGTCGCTCAGAGGGGCTGAACGTTGCAGTTCGATGAGGAGACGTCGAAACTCAGCCGGGCTGGAGCGGACCTGTTTATATAGCACTTAATACACATTACAGAATGCGAACATATGCATGCGACGTCGCTCTCCAGGTGTGCGCACGAAGGGACCACGGGAGAACAGACGTGACAGGACCGTGTGCAACACCGACTTCTCATGGTCATGCATTGCGTTATGCTCGCACTCATGCATCTCGATCTAGACGCACTGAGGTGCAATGATGCACTGAATTCTGTACTAGGTCTGTTGAAGTTACCCGCAATACATGAGCTGCCAACATGATATGAAGACGTCGTGGGGGCTGAATGGCGTTCAGTGGTGCTGCTAAAAGAATACTTGACATTCTAGACACTACTCATAGCTATGACCAGGACTTTCTACAACTCTCACTCAATCTATCACGTGTCGACAGTGCCCTCGATATTCAGCTCCCCCATCAAATTGTCGCTGTTCCACTCCCTCCCCGCTTGCAAATTCTCTATCGCTCTCTTCACCAATACCAGATCACTTCGTCCATGAAGCATGGAGAGATATTTCCGCATACCCTCAAGACCTTTGAAAAGACGTGCAGAGTCTTCTTCGTGAATCCTCTCTGCTGCTGTCCGCACAGCGTTCTGAGCTTGTAACGTGAAGAGATCAGTAGCAAGGTCCAGCGCGGAAGGAAGATCTCGTCCAAGGGCGCCTGCACGGAGCGCAGACGGAAGGGTATGCCCCAAACCATCGACAGGCAGTGCGAGCGAGGCATCGCCCGCAGGGCAGATAGGGGCATGATTCGTGAGGAGCTGGATATAGTCGGCTTGCGACTCGACGAGTTCAAGATCCCACTCGATGGCTATGTCGATCCGTTTGGGCATGAATTGCAACCGCGTTTCTCTCAACGCATTGCGGCGTCTTTCACAGTGAAGCTCATGTGCCAGGTGCCGTCGATCAGATTCGGCAAAGAGAGCGTCAGCTTCCGCCATTACCCCGGAGATTGCTTCCCACGGGCGAAGCCATGAGCCATCATCTTCACAGAACTGCTCCGCTGGCGCTACATCAACTAAGGAGATCCTGTTGCGACCACGTTGGACTGCTGCGTTGACCAGAAACTTCGTGTTGACGGTCCGTTCGTGGGCTAGCTGGGCTTCTAGGTCTCCGATGATGTGAAGTTCAATCTGGCTCTCAACACGACGAGCATCTTCGATCTGGACGAGTAGGAAATCGATCTCTTCGACGCCACTCTGACTAGATTCGGGGCGGGTGAAAGCTACTTGCTGCCCGAGAAGCTCAAACCGCTCGAGCACAGCCATATGATGTTGTTCCATCATTCGGACAACTTCTGGTGAGAGAGACTGAGCACCAGTGGACTGAGTAAGCTGATCTTTTGGCGCATCCAAAGTCATAACATTCGATTCCTCAACAAGGCTGTCGCCCCTGGCCAACTGACTGTGAATCTGCTCCACCATTGTTAAGATCTTGTCGGATACCTCACTTCGAGCCAGTCCTGATGCTTGCTCAGTGGCATCTTCCGAGGTTGGTATCCAATGAGTTTCGAGTCTGTCCACTGTCTTTTCGATCGTGCCAAGGGTCTGGTAGAGGGTGCGTTCATCTGCCGGCGGATCTCCAAGAGCCGATCCAGGGTTTAGCTGGCCGTAGATACTCTGTATCATGGTCATCATAGTACTTGGGTTGACCCCCTGACTAGATACGGTAGGAAGAGAACTGTTGTGGATGTCTTGCAGTTGTTGTGTCGAGGTTTCCTGGCCTTTCTGGACCAGCCTCAGTTCTTGTGCCAACATGGATGAGTTGGACAAAAGGCCGGCCTGAATTTGACTTCCTTGATGCTGAACGGTTGCCTCGACCCTTTGCAGCTCACCCCGTAGTCCTTTTAGGCGAGATCTTACATCCATGAACTGAACGTTCTGACGCTTCTGGTTCTTTCGTAACCGCGACTGGATATGGCCACTTGCCGCCTTGATCGAAGTGTCGAGTTTGTTGGTCTGCGCCATGCGTACATCCGATTGGTTCTGGGACTGGGTCGAGATGTGTGCATACAGACTGGTGAGATTCTGGTTAGCTGGCACGACTTGATCACGTAACCACGCACAGTTCTCTCGAACCTGCGTGCTGATCTGGGATTGGAAGTCGCGTATCTGGCCATGGATCTCGGTGGTTGCCGTTTCGACTTTAGTCTCCAATTTTGATGCAGCGCGCGTGACTGAGTCGTCTGTCTTTTGGAACAACCAGCCACCGGTAGACTGAAGCTGCATCTGCAAATTACTAACATGGCTGTGAATGTCTTCGACGGCTTCCAAGCTGGTCATTCGACGTTTCTTTCTCGGTTCCACCTCGTGAGTGTCATGTCTTGCTCGTCGCAGGCCTACAGGTGCTACCGTTGGCTCTCGGGTGATAACGTTGACATCTTCAGCTTCTTGCCGACTATGTTGGCCAGTAACGTTAACGTCGCATGACTGCATAGGGTCAGCTCTGTCGACTGACTGCGCCTTTGTTCGTCGAGTATTGTAGTCGTCAATTCCAATGTGAGGATCAGCATCGGATGTCTGTGAAGGCCTAGACAGCGTCGAATCACAGTGTTCTTCGGTAATCGGATGGTCGGTCGACTTGGCGCTACCTTTCGGTGATCTGACCCGCTCCTCCATGGAAGACCAGGCAGACGAAGAACGGGCGAATTTTGGCTGCTTCGTAACGTGGGAAGGACCTGATGTCGCCTGGCTTGGAATTGACTTCTTTTGCGCGTCTCTTCCATGCGGGAAGTCATCGTCCATTGTTGGAAACGCACCAGGAACGGCCAGAGATGCGGTGACCGACGAATATGGACCCTTTTGGTTGACCATTTCTGGACATTCGGGGCATTTCGATCCGGCCCGCTCTGGGTCGATAGTGACAGTGGCGGACGATGGCTTGGTCACAGAACATTTCGAAGTGCTGGCTTGTGTGGGTGTGTTGCGCCTTTGGGTTATACGAGAGCTCGATTGGCGTTGTTCTTGCTGAGCAATCTTGTACGGATGAACTGTTTCGTTGGACCGCGCGTTGATCTCAGGAGCAGTAGCAATACATGATGTTGGCGTGCGAACAGAGGGGCGAAGTATACTCTTGGGCAGACATGATGATCCAGCCACTACGGTATGAATGTCTTCGAGAGCCGATCGTGTTTGGGGTGATTGACGCTTGGTGTTTTCTTTGTCGTTATCATGCTGCCGAACTTTGATCCCTGATATAATCCGATGAAGTGCGGGCCACGGTCGAAGATCGTCCACAGTGTTCATGAGCTGGCGAATGTAGTTTGAGTCGGATTGATAGATCTGGTCCAGCGTTTGGTTCTTGTAGGGACCGAATGGGATAACA